GAAAGAAAAAAAGAAAGCGAATATGATAGAGAAAAAGTGAGAGAGAGAGAGAGAGAGAGAGAGAGAAAGAAAAAGACAGACAGACACAAGATGGAGAAACAGTTAAATAGAAATTTACGCACCAGTAACACATGAGATTCTACAGTTGAAAGATAGCAAGCAAGCATATACGTTGCATATTTCTTCCTAGCTAGTCCCATCTGGTACGTTTATAAATGCGAAACAGACATACAATACAACACGATACAATACAAACGTAAGATTGCATGTTCATATATGCGAGCACACACATAAACAAATAAACATACACACATAAAGACACACAGACACACACTTATACACACAAACATGCATACAAAAAATTAATATCATTTACACACCTGCTGTAGTAATTTTAAACTTAAATTGCATTTTTTTTTGAAAAAATTTATTATTATTAATACAATATTATTATTATTATTATTCCCGCCATCATCATTATCATTATAACCGCCGATATATTTTTGGAGGAATTTATTTTTTAATTGAATTCTGAAATTAATTAGACGCTAATTACGGTGAGTTCTATTTTTGAGTTAGGTTCAATCCCATAATGATATACACAAATTTTATGTTACGTTACATATATACTGATAACGTTGTCTATCCACTAATCTATCTACCTTATTCATCCACCATTTAATGATCCCCAAATATCATTAATCCATCCAAACATCCACTCATCAACTCAACATACTATCAGTCTCTCTCTATTTTTTTCTCTCTATTTCTCTTTTTCTCTCCATCTATTCATTTATTTATTTATCCACCAAACATCCATCCATCCACTGAACATACTGTTATAACCGTGCTACCGAACGCACTAGATTCTAGCGTATTTTAGAATGTATAGTGACTGGAGCATTCTAGAGTATGCTGGAATCGGACCATCTAGAAGAATCTAGAAACGACGCTTGCGAAGAGTATATAAGCGCACGTCGCAAGAAGATTAGCAAATAGTGAAATTCGTGATTTTGTAAATAGCGATTCGGTGAATTATTTAAAGCGATATTTGATTTGTTTGCTGACGTTGTCATAGCGATAGATTTTGAACAATTTAAAAGTTAATTGTTGCGTTAATTTGAATTTGCTAGAAATAAACGATTAGTTGATTTCTTCTGTAAATAAAGTTTAATAACTAATAACTGTTTGGAGTATTTTATTCAATCGAAGATTTGAACCCGTCACGTCGTAAATCGGTTACGACAGCGAATATTATAACAATACTATCAGTCTTTCTCTATCAGAACTATCAGTCTTTCTCTTTCTCCATCCATCAATTCATTCATTCATTCATTTAATCATTCATTCATTAATTCATTCATTCATTTATTTATCCCCGCTACCAGTTGGATAGATTCAAGGAACCCCCGGCATTCGGGCCCATGTGTGACCTTCTATGGTCAGACCCGCTGGAAGATTTCGGTAGTGAGAAGAATGCGGAACATTTTACGCACAACAGCGTCAGGGGTTGCTCATATTTCTATAGGTATGTTGGCTGATTGGTTGGTTGTGGGGTTATTCATTTTTTTTTAATTTTATTATGTTTGTTTCTTTGTTCGTTCGTTCGGGCGTTCGCGCGTTTGTTCGTTCGTTTGGTTTTCATTCATTAATTCATTCGTTCATTCGTTGATTCATTCATTTACTGAATGACTGATTCATATATTCATTCGTTCGTTCGTTTATTTATTCATCTGTGTGTAGATCTTGATGATGATAACGATGGTGGTTGTGATGATGATGATGATAATGCAGATGATGATGATGATGGAGCTGATTATGATGCAGATGATGACGAAACGATGATGACGTTGATGTTGAAAGCAGTCTCAATAATGTTGATGGTTGTTGAAGGAAAATTTATTACTTTTCGATCCGCTGAAAACTACGCTGGGAGTGACAACGACAATGATTCTTACGTGCAGGTCAGATGACGATGGTGACGATGACGATAATGATGGTGGTGATGATGATGATGAGATGATGAAATTGGTGATTAAGCCGATGATGATGATGATGTCATCCTTGAGAATAGAGACGACAACGACGATGATGAAAAACATGATGATGTGTAGTAAGTTTCAGATTCTGAATTTGAAGATGGAAAAGATGATGATGACGACGATATTGATGATAGCGATGATAATAATGATGACGACGATGACGATGATGATGACAACGTTTGCAATTATATGCATCATAAAGTTGATGAGAATGATGGTCGTGGAATGTGGTTGTGAATAAATTAGCATAAATTACTGGCAAGCTTGCATGTGCAATGCTCTGCTTCTCTATTCCACATACAACCCTATTATCATCATCATTATTTTCTAATGAGCCAGATTAGATGGATGGATGGTGTAGCTCTGTTCATTCATTCCGTTCTTCGTTTGTTCATTCATTCATTCATTCATTCATTCATTCATTCATTCATTCATTCATTCATTCCATTCATTCATTCATTCATTCGTTTGTTCGTTCGTTCGTTGCTCCCTCGTTTCTTCTTTCGTTCGTTTGTTCGTTCGTTCAATCATTTTCACTTTTTTGTTTCAATTCGTTATGCTTCTGTTTTGAGATATTTGCATTTCTCCCTCTCTTCTTGTGTTATTCTTTTTTACGCTCGGAAAAATGTTTCATCCCATCCATCATTGTTTTATTTTTTCCGACTTGTTTTCAAATTGGTTGGTGTGAAGGAAGAAAGTTCCATCCACGGGTGTGTTTGTTGTGCCTGTATGTGCTTACGTGTGTGTGTATTTGTTTGTATATGTATGTGTGTATGTATGTTTGGATGGGCACGTAAGTGTATGTACGTATGAGTGTGTGTTTGTATGTGTGTTTGTGTGAGTTTGCGTTTGTTTGTATCTGTGTGTGTGTGTGTGTGTGTGTGTGTGTGTGTGTGTGTGTGTGTGTGTGTGTGTGTGGGTGGGTGTATTAGTTCGTTAACGGAGTGAACATTTGTAACATTTAATTCTATTTGCGTGTTTTTGTTCGAACTATGAGTACAGTTTTTTTTCAGAATGAGATAGAAAAAATTGAAAAATTGTCTCGAGGTGCACCGGAGCACGCATAAATATTACATGCTCAATCCTTATAAGAATTTATTTTAAAATTTTACAGATATTCGTTCATTCGTTCATTCATTCATTCATTCGTTCGTTCATTCATTTATTAATTCATTAATTAATTCATTAATTAATTTATTCATTCATTCATCCATTCGTTCATCCGTTCACTTGTTCGTTCGTTAATTCGTTCGTTTGTTTGTGCATCTGTCTGTCCGTATGTCTTTTTTATCATTCGTTCGTTTATTCATTCGTTCGTTCATACATTCGTTTTTTATTTTATTCATTCTTTCGTTTGTTCATTGATTGATTGATTGATTGAATCATTTGTTGACACACACCTTCCACACACACCTTCCACACACACAGTCCCCACACTTACACACCACCAATGACACTAATTTCACGACCACCACCACCATCATCTCAAGATTATCTCCCATCATCAATCATAATTATCGTCATAATCCCCATTCATCATCATCGTCGTCGTCATCGTCATCGTAATGATAGCCATCGTCTTCATCACAACGTTATAGTGTTTTATTACTCACTTTCCAATTGCAAATTTTTATCAATTATATAAATATTTAAATATTTAAAATTAATAATAATGATAATAGTCATAATAAGGGTAATAATTATAATGATAATGATGATGATGATGATAATAATGTGAACTCTTTTATTATCAAAGCCAAGTAAAATCAAAATAATCAAATAAATAGACAAGCAAAATAAAATATACAAATAAATAAATACAGTTAATTGTTAAAAAGATATGGCTAGTCATCGCTGCTCGTCATTCAAAAATGAGTATAGTGATGATAAAGTAGTATAAAAATTACATATTGTTCACGCATTATTTCTATCGCAATATATGGCATATGATGATGAGATTACATTATTAATTAAGCTATATCTAAATTGATCAGTCCATTTAACATTAATAAAAGACAGATTGAATGGATTGTAAAAACCTATGGGTGAAATTTCAAAAGTGTTTATTAAAATATTGAAATGTTTAAAATCGTTTAAAATGTTATCTTTTAAATTGTTTATATATTTATTAAGTTTATATTGTTTAGATTTCATGAAGTTTGTTTCATGGCAAACGGTCAGCTCGAGTACTTCAATGGTATCTTTGCTGAGGACAGCGATGTCAGGTCTCAACGATTTGAATAGATTCGATATTGGCTGTACCATTTCTTTTTCTAAATCTGCAAAAATCTCAATACCCGGCCTTGCGCTTGCCCTGATATTATCGATTATCAATGTGAGAATTTTGTTGTGGCGATTCGTATATCTACTCAATGCTGAGGCTGAGCCACAATTTGACAGGACGTGTTTATTCGTTTGTTTTTCATTACAAAGCGAGCATAACGCGTTGGTTGATTTACCCCATCTAAAAAGGTTAGCGTTTGTGGGTAGCTGTTGGATGAGGTATTTTCTAGTGAATTTATATAAGACCTCAGATAGTTTTATTGTTGACTTGGACCATCGGACAATTTCGGAACCGTTGATGTGCTCTCTTATTGAATTTACAAGGATGCCTTGGCATTGCAGCAGCGAAACATGGTTGAAATACGCTTCGTACTGTTGTTGTTTTAAGGCCTTCATAGCCGGTTTCAATTCTTTGCATTCTGGAATAAGGTTGTCAATATTTCTGTACGCCTTGCAAGATTCACTCCAAAGTGTTCTTATTTCTTCGTTGGAGTTTAGTTTGAAGCACCAGCGGAGTCTCATTCTTAGTAGTTCGGCGTGCTGCTTGAACGCTTTTATGTTGAGACCTCCAATTTTATATGGCAGTGAAATCATTTCAGCGATACAACTGCTGATAGGTAGAGATAACCATTCTCTTACCGTTTCTGTCACGAGACGGTCCAGAGTGTTTTCAATCCAAGTCAGTGATATATTGTAGGCACGGAGTTCAAATGATAATTGGGAAGGAACGAAGCGTCTAAGAATTTCAAGCTTCCATTGAACTGTCGTATCTAGTCTACCAATCTTTTGCAGCATAACTCTGACTTTATTGTACAAATCATCTTTTTCTTTAGTGTTCTTACCTTCAAAGTCGTAAATGACTCCTAAGTACGTAAAGTGATCGTTCATTTTGATCTGGGGAATTGTTGCATCGTCGATTGTTAACTGAGGCAAAAATTGTTCATATTTGCCATCGAGCTTTCGCATCCCAAACGTACAGCATTTATCTATTCTTAACTTCATACCTGTCCATTTACACCAGGCTTGATTAAGATCGATTAGTTTCTGGGCTCCTTCTGAACTGCTTGAGATGATTGCTGAATCGTCAGCAAATTGAAGCCAACCTCTGGATTTTAGTTTGGCTGTAGGTCCCCATATATATCCACATTGTTGAAATTCTTTCGCTTCTAATATTTTCATTAATGGGTTGAAACAAAGGTTAAATAGTAAAGGAGAACCGGGGTCACCCTGTAGAACACCTCGTTTAACTTGGATTGGTGAGGTTAGTTTGTTGCACACCGATACATTTATCGAGTAATCGGCGTATATTGATCTAATCAGATTGCTGACCTTGGTTGGGATGTGATGGTAGCTTAAAACAGATGGAATTAGATCATGGCTGACCTCACCAAATGCATTGCGTAGATCTAAGAGGGTGACAATGATTGTTCTCTGGTGTCTTTTGGCATCTTTTAGTAGATGAGTTAGTAGTTGCGTGTGTTCAGCTACACCGTCAACCTTGGGGAAAAATCCTTTTTGTATGTTTTTATTGATTAAGTTGTTTTGATCAAGATATTTGTATATTCTATTGTTAATGAATGTTGAAAAGATTTTATAGAATACTGGTTGAAGTGTTATTGGCCTGAAATTTGATGGGTCGCTGGCGTCACCCTTTTTGTGAATTAAAATTGTCAGACCTTTTCTCCAGCAGGAAGGGATCGACGATGTTTTCCAACATTCAACCAGTATCTGATGAAGGATTGTGCGGAGTATTGGACATTTTTTCAAGATAATTATTGACATCTGATCCAATGGGCAAGGAGAAGCTCTCGACTTGCATTTCCGGATAATTGAGAATATTTCATTATATGTTGGAGGATTGATATTGCAAGCAATTGATGGGTTTGGCAAAGTTTGAATCCAATTTGGCAAGCAGTATTTATTACGACATGGATCATTCAGAATGTTGTGGAAAAACTCTTTACATTTTTCGACGTTAAACATAGGTAGCAAACTACACGTCGGTTTGAGTAGTTTTTCACACGTTGGCCAAAATTTATTTTTTAATTGGCTTGTGATGTCGAGTATTTTCCCAATTTTTGATGCTTTTGATGACGATATTTTTGCTCTTATTTGACGGCTTAACGTGATAATTTGTGTGTCGAAATTGTGGTTGTTACGGCCCAATAGTTTGAGTTGTTTTAGTTCTGATTTTAATTTGTTGGTTGGTTTGTCGGATTTTGTTGTTGAATTTGTTTTTTGTTTTAATGTGCCGTATGTTGATGCAAAATAATTGTATATTAGTGACTGTAGATTGGCGGTGAAGTTATTAATGTTGACGATGTTTGGCAGGGCTGTTCTTTGCGACTGGAAGTATGCATTGGCTTCTACCCACTGTGCTGTTGTTTTGGGTAGTTTTATCCCTGGGAGTGATACTTCTGTCTTGACGATAATTTGTGATGTTGGTGACGGCGAAGATGCCTGTTGATGTGGAGGAGATGACGGTTGTTGTGTTTCTGTCGTAGCGATATTTGTTGATGCTGATGTCGGCGGAGACGTCTGCTGGTGCGTTGGAGATGACGACCAGTTTAAATTTTCTTCTGGGTCTTCTGGAGGTTTTGCCGAATTTAAACTTTTACACATTTTGCACGAGCGTTGGTGCATCCGTAGGCCCTTTCTCCCTTTACAACGTTTACCGCAACAACAGATACTTAAATTATTATCCATATTAGCAATATTATTATTATTTAAATTATCAACGAGTAAGTTTGGAGATATTAAAATATTGTCGCTTTGAGTTGAATGTATACTATTGTTACTATAACTTATTGAAGTAGATTTTGTACAGCGCCAGGAGTGGCTGCTAAGTTTAACAAAGTTTTTAAAACAATATGGACATTTAGTTGCATTTACAATTAAAATTAGGTTTAAAATTATAATTAAATAGTATGAATATCTAAAGTTAGGAGAAATTAATATCAATTTATTCGCCATAATTAACTTAAACTTTCAAACCAATTTTTATACCATAAAATCACATAAAACTCGATTAAAGTAAATAAAACAGTAAGCTAGAAAAATTCTGCCAGCTCTCATGTTTCATAGTACAACCAATGATGATAATAATAATAATAATAATAATAATAATAATAATAATAATAATAATAATGTTTTGTTTTCCCCACACACAGTTATG